ATATGTTATAGTGGTCCGATTCTTCCGGTTCCGACAAATGATTAATACATTATAAAAATACACCCACCTACCAAATTTGATCCGGATATCTCGAAAACTGAGAGACTAGATTGCATACAAACAGACGGACAGACGGACAGACGGACATGGATAAATCAACTCAGCTCGACGTTCTGATCATATAAGTATACATTTTAATGGGTCTATCTCTTTTTGTTCTGGTACTTACAAACATCGGACCAAAGTTATAATACCATTTCATGCTCATGAAAGGTATGTGTTACCGGTTTACATACCGATCACATAGCAGTGAAAATCACTTAGATTGGTGCCATATAAAGTATATCTTCCATACCTCTGATTGTTTAGATGCGATTTTTTATATAAGTATGTAACTCCTCTATCGATGTATGCAGATGTATTCAAAATCAGTAATCTGTCAAACTAAAATTTGCAGATGTTCATGAAAGGTATGAAGCCTTCGGCATAGCCGAAGACAGCGCTGCTCTTACTTGTTTTTTTTTTAATTTGATCGCCATATTAGATCCGCCATTTTGAATTAAAAAAAATTGACTTCATATTCGTAGTCGGCGACCCCAAAAACTCTCGAGTGCCGGGTTTCGAACAAATCCAATCATTAAAAAAAATGCACCGGTATTTTGAATTTCGGAAAACTGACTTCAGATTCGTAATTAGCAACACCAGAAACCCCCTGGTAACAAGTTCCAACCCATCACAATGCGTTAATCGTTCAGTATCAACGTTTTAATTTTACTAGTCTCTTTTCCAGAGCATATTTTCGGGCACTAGACCCATTCTAACTGCCCAAGACAGGTATGTAATTAAGGGAAAGTTCCCCAATTATACCAGAGTAATTATATGTAAAAAACAAATTTTTAGCTGCATTTTAACATGTCAAGAATATAAAAAAATTGAGAACATCAGCGTTTTTATAAAAAACCGACAACCGCGACCTCTAAGAAATTTTTTTTTCAAAATAAAAAAACACGTTTCTCTTTTTTTATCACAAATAAAAATAATTTGAGGTTGCGTTTATGAATTTCGAAAAAAAATTTTTTTGGGACCACTCTAATATATATATATAAAGGTAGGTAAAATTTTCAGTATGTTTGGAAGGCACCACGCCCCCTTTTCTAATAGCCTCAATATTTCTTCATTAGTATGGGACTGATTTCATATATCTCCATACCAAGCACCAGTACTCCTCCATGAACACTTCCAGAGATATGCAATATAAAAAATTATTTTTCCAATTCTCGTACGTAACAAATATACACAAAGGAGTGTGACCACAAACACCATGACACGAGATTTTTAGATACATATTAGATAAAGGTAAGTTAACATCGATATACTCTATGTTGACGTGGTCCGATTGTGAAACCAGATAAACCTACATGATCGATTGGGCGAGAAAGTTTATATCTAGGTATGAACATGAAAATAGTTACCCCCTATTAAAAATGAACTTCGTAAAAATTGCTTACTATAATAATGGTATCAATCGAAATGGTTTTGAAAAGGCTTTGAGCATGTGGGAGCGTTGCCACCTGTGTAAAAAATCTAATTCAATGAGTTAAGAAAGAGGTTTGAGAAGGTTGTAATTCGAAAATATTTTCCAGGTGGCTGCCACTGGTTTAAAAATATTAAACTAGAATTATTTAATAAGTTCAATGAGCTATTACAATATGGGTGTCAATGGAAATGGCTTACCTAAAAGGGCTTCATTTCTGAAATACATGCATGATTGTTGCTACCATTTTGAAAAGCCAAATTCAACTTAAATAAAGGGTACTACGCAATTTTAATATGTGCTAGGGTATTCTATCCCGAAGAATGTTAACAATCCCAGGATTTCGCTATACAAAAATTACTTATCCGGATCTCGAGATTTTTGGGGGTTTCAACTTTATCACAATTTTTGCCTTTTGCACTAGGGTCACCGTTCTCAGCAGTCAAACAATTAAACCACACAGATTCATTATAGCCAAATTTGGTCTTACGCGGAGCATACTGAAGCTGCGTAAAAGAATCTGTAGTTAATGTTAAAATATTTTTATAGTATTCTTAAATATCTATGTTAAAGTGGTCCAAAAATGTATGTAAAAAATAATGTGGCATTTTTAATGCCGCCACCCCCTAGGATTGTTCTATTCCGAAAAAATATACTCGTACTTTTTTATTTTGAAGTAGAAAAAATTTAGGGAGTGCTCAACGCGCTCAACGCGCTCAAAGTTTTCCATGTATTTGATATGGGGGAAAAACAACTTTTCGTAGAAATAGTGTAGAATTCTTGAAAATCGATATTTTCCGATCAGAGGACTTTGCTTATCTTCAGGAGATTCCCCTTAATAATATCCAATTGTTTTTTTGACCATTTTTTCATGGTAACTATATTTTATAGGTCCTCCAAAACCCCAGCAAATGCAATGTGGGGACAAATGAAAAATCTTTAATATTAAAAAATGGTTAAATAAACAATTGGATATTAACATTGGAAGTCTCCTGAAGATAACCACAGGTTTCCGATCGAAAAATATTGATTTTCAAGAAGAGCACTGCCTAAATATTTTTTGATTTTAAAATAAAACAAGTAAGAGCAGGGCTGTCTTCGGCTATGCCGAAGGCTTCATACATTTCAAGAACATCTGGAAATTTTACTTTAATAGATTACTGCATTTAAGAAAATTTGTATATACACAGCATACATATGTAGATAGAGGAGATACATGTATAAAAAATCATATCTAAACAATCAGAGGCATGGAAAATATTCCTTATGTAGCACCAATCTAAGGGATTTTCACTGCTGTGTGATCGGTGTGTAAACCGGTAACACAATCTAATGAGTTTAACTTCCTACATAAAGGAGATATATCGCAAAAACTGGTATCTGACCAATCAGTGGCATAGGAGATAAAGCTTATACAGCATAGATTTTGACGATTTTCTGAGTAGGCTTTGTATTATTATTTATAAAATAGCTTACGAAATGTATCTGAACAATCAGTTGTTTGGAGGCAATAAATAGGTTATAGTGACCTGATCTTTGTTAATTTTGCTGTAAACTTTCTGTTGACAGTGACTGAAAATAGTGCGAAATATCATGTTTCTAGCTGCATATATGGAGAAGTTATAACAAAGAATCTCATATCTGAACACACAGTTGTATGGGAGATATATGTTATTGTGCGCCGATCTTTGTTATTTTCACTGTTAATAATGAGTGAAAACGATGCGAATTTTCATGTTCCTAGCTGCATAGATGGAGAAGTCACGATGTAGGGAGACACAGGTGGCGCAATCGGCAGTAACGCTACTTTGTTCTTGGCGAATTTGACAGAATCAGCTGTTCGTGTGACGTAATTTTAGTAAACTGTTTGTATGTATGCAGAGATGTTTATATGTATGTAAATATGGCGACCTCCATGGTTTGACAGTTAACACTCTTTCTCTCCTCCATCTCCAATTATTCTTTCTAAAAGTTTCTTGTGTTTTTAGTTGCTACCAGATTTTTCGTTTTTACACAGTTCTTGCGCAAAATGTCTAAACAAGTGTAGTTCACGCATGTTCTGAAATTCTTCCAAGTGGAAGTGACTCAAGTTCACTTTGAACATAAATTTTTGTGTTCTGTATTTCTCGGTTTTCATGACAATTGCACTTTCACTCTGTAAATAAATCAGTTTCGGCACATGGAAGAGTGTTCGGGATACCAATATTCTGGAAAGCTCCTTATATTCACATTTGTATGGATCAAGATATTTTTATATGGCTTTTAGACAAATATTTTACTCCAGTTGTGTGAAATATTGAAAATGTTAAACGAAAGAGAATTAAGAAACTTTTAGTTTCAACGCTCAGAATATTTTTCAGGTGTTTAAAAATTAAATTCAATTAAAACTTTATAATAGGTTAAATGAACTATAATAATATGAGTATCAATGGAAATGGTTTTTAAAAGGCTTTATTTCTAAACTACATGTAGGAGGGAATCAGGTAATTGAAGAATGTATCAGAATATGGATGTCAGGTAAAAGAGGTTTAAGAAGATCAGAGTTTTAAAATATGCTAAAGAGTTAAAAATAGTGAAAATCTCTTATGCTTTTGGCTGAGTTGAGGAATATTGGGGTTTAAAGAAATAAACAGCACGAACGAATTTCACACACTCAGCGAAGCGAGTGAGGGCAAACTAGTTCATAAAATAAAACACAATTAATTTTCTAGTTTCTATATATTTATTTTGTAAAGTTTTGATAATTTGTTTTGCAACATTTTTGGTTCAAATGTATTGCGAAACCCAAATATGTATGTAGGTTTTCCGGACAGGTGTTTGTTTTTTATAAGTTGAATTTTGTGTGTAAATATGTACATACATATGTATATGTGTATGAATATAATTTATAAACAACGCTATAAAGTAGATATGATTAGGTTTACGATATTTTATGAATTTTGAAAGAAGTCTACAAAGAACAGGGGAAAGGTCCGAATGCTTTGCGATCGATTATGTTTTATTCATAAATGCAATTCTTTCAATATTTTTATCACTACATATTTAAATAAATGTTCCTTTTTTACTAAGCCTAAGTTTTCGGTATATGAGTTTGACTTTTTTCGAAAAGTTGTTGACTAATTGTACATACATTTTACATTTCTAAAATATATATCTTTGATAAATACATACATACATATGTTTTGGTTCTTTTTTCTAAATAATTTCACTTAAAATTATTGTTTTAATTATTGTGTTTAAAGTTAAATTAAAATGCAAGAAGTTGCAACATACATATTCGTGTATGGAGATATGTATGTAAGTAACTACTTTTGTCCTCATAATCTCGATTTTTCAACATTTCTCAAGAAGATCGATATGGTTTGCTCTTGCATATCATCTCTTATTGTTTCATAAATTCTACATTTTTCGTTTGAATTTTTTAAGTAAATTGCACACTTAAATACGAGTATGTATGTTGTATTTCTCTTCGTCTCAATAAATCTAAGAAAGTTTATTTGTATGTATATAATTTTGTTTGGTATTTGCCCACTCTTTTTGACATGATGATGTGTGTAGTATGTAAGTGTGTACGTTTACGTTTGATATGCCTTAGAAGATGAAAAGTCTAAATTCTATGTGATACGAGTAATTTTCGCTATTGTCAATATTTTCCTTCATTCACGCTTCCAGAATTTTACTTTCTTACGTTTTATTTTCATCATGCCCACCTTTTTCTTGCTCTTCCTAGCACCCCTCATGCGTCTCGGCCAATTTCAAGGAGTTACGTAGAATATGGGTGGATGCCACCCACGGTAGGCCGCGTTTTAGAAACCATTGTAGTATCGACCCCTTGGTCGCACAATCAATTGATTTTCGCTGAAGTCACTGTATTCATCTGAATCCTCGTAGATGCTCTTCAATGAACCGGGGAAGGGTGTGGCGCGTTCTGCGCTATACGAATTGAAATCCTCATCGCTATTCTCGAACGGATCAACGGCTACGTAGGAAGCAGAGAAACCTTTCATGGTGACAGTGTCATCAGTTTTAAATCTCACCAGCAGGGAGTCGGTCAGTGAAATAATGTCTTGAGGGAGCTGAAAATAGAAAATTTATAATTCACACACGCACACATGAATACATACATATATAGTTCGTTTTGCTGACCAACAACACCTACTGCTCAAAATATTGTAAGCAATTCCGAAAATTAACTTACCGTATTGCCACAATATTGCCCATACATAGGACCACTAGTGTCCTCCATGCCCGAGTACACCTGCACATAGTCATATGTGCAATTTTCGCTGGCCTCAATGTCGAAAGTTAGGAAGAGTAGCTGCACATTGCTGCTTGCCGGCGCTTGAATCGTCCATTCACAGTCCATATTCTCATTGTAGTTGCGGTTGCCGAAGAGCGCATGCGAATAGAATTGCTGTATTTGATTTGTGGCACGCAAATAACCGCCGCACGCTGCATAAACGAAACAAATACAAATTTACTTAGATGTGATAATGAATTACAATGTGTAAGAGTGGAATTAACTTTTAACTAACTTAGGTTAATTCCCAAAACTGTGTTAAACATTTTTCTAACGCTTTAAGGCTGCTTTTTACTATACCATATTTTGACGACTTCTTTGCTCTTGCTCTTCTTTATCCATGCCAGCTTTCGGACTTTGCTGTGATGCTTTTTGGGAAATTCTAGAACATTTTCCTCTACTCTGTTCGACTTAAAATGTACTTAGATTTGTTATGATGTAGACAGGTGAATGAACACAGCGCAGGTTTGTTCTAATCGGAGGCGATCTTCACGCTCAACACGTACAGTGGGGGAGCTCGATCATCAATAGTCGAAGTGAGTCTCTTTTTAGCTAACTCTTAACAACCAATCTTATGATATTTAATAGGATTTCAGAAGCTACTTTTTTTGTGAAAAGCAGTCAGGAGGTCATAGACCTTATACTATGTACATAAATACAATATTTTTTATATGATTAAAATCTGAAGAGTTCTTAACGAACACTTTCTTTCCAACCTTAGATATGTTGAGGTGATTCTAGACTTTTCCCTAACTGCACCGAAATCTGAAAGAACCTGAGGAATACAGACTAGGGAGTTTATAAAGAGAACGAAAAATGACACTGAAGATGTTGAGGGGGATCACGCCAAACGTCGGCGAGAACTCGGCTTCCAGATAAAAATGTGACAGGAGGCACACCGCAGGGTGCCACTCCTTTGGAATTTACCCGTGAACTTTCTCTTGCGAGAGATGAACTGCGGAAGCACCAAGGTTGTCGCTTATGCGGAGGACGTAGCCATCGCGTATAGGGCCAAGTCTCCTCAAACTTTGTGCGACTTGCCAGGAAGGAGAACATAGTCCAGGTATATGAGAGGGCCCTATATTCGTGCAAGATGGGGGTTGAGCCCAAGTATATGCACCGGTGGTTAGACCGATTCTCATTTACGGAATTATAATGTAAGGCCTATAACCTTTATCTACTCAGCAAAGTATAAAGGATTAGTATAGTCTGCATCAGCAGAGCAATCCGGAGAACGACAAATGATGCTTTAAATGCATTTTTGGATCTCCTGCCACTAGATCTAGTGGGTCAGTAGAAGGCATCTCTTGGTGCACTTCGGTTAAGAGAGACATGGCAATGAGAATCAGGATTGCTGGGTTCCTCCTACATTCTGGAAAAATATAGCTTTCTTATGGATTATAAAGACCGGTGTTCCGGTTACGGATAGAAACTTCAAGCAGGGAGGAATCAGTGATGCCAGACATTCTCTGTTAAAAATCCCACGAAAATGGGGAAAAAATCCCTCAATTAGCCACAGCTTAAAAATTTATCCCACAAAATTCCCAACGAATTTAAACATATACATGTTTCAGTAGTAGTAGTAATAATTGGCGCTTACACATATGTGCTTCTCCTCCAATTTGTGGCGTGCCCCTTGATGTCACACAAAGGGGAGGGACCTACAGTTTTACGCCGACTCCGAATGGCGAGTGTATTTTTATGAGAAGCTGTTTTTCATGGCAGGAATATAAGTACTCGGAGGTTTGCCATTGCCTGCCGGCTTCACTTTCATTTTTTTGCTCACTCACTAAGGGCCTAAAAAAATTTTTTGGTGACTTTAAAATTGAAGCACATTCATGTGCTATTAACCATTTCATCAGATAATTTGTTCCGCTTTTTACATGAAACACCAGTTACAACTGAAAAGATTCTTTCTTACTCAGCGCTTGAATTGGTTAACGTAAGAAAATTTTCGAAATTGTCCTTATACTTTTTAACAATTATATACCATTTCACTCCACATCACATCTTCAGAAAGATTAATTACGTAAGAATGTCGAATATTCTTGAATTTGGATCAATTATGCAACAATAACTGCACCAAAAGAAAATCCCTTATTTGTTTGAAATGTCCCTTTTTTCCCTTTTAAAAATGTTTGTTGCAAAATATCCCTCAAATAGGGAAATTACCCACAATCTGGCATCACTGGGCGTAGCCAGGTAGGGGCAGGGGGGGGAGGCCCGGGCCGCCCCCCCCAACTTTCAAATTTTTGCCTAGATATTCAAAAATACTACCACGAAATGCTTGCTTGATAATTTCGGCCCCCCCTAAATTTCAAGGTTTTTCCTATATATATACTGTATAACAAATTATACTCCCAACGCTAACTAAATAATTAGTAAATTGATTTGAAAAGTAGATATGTGGATCATCCGGTTCTGTATCAAGTTATTATCTCTAACTTCAAAGCACTTCCATTTTAAAAGGGTAAAAACCTGGCTGCAGTCGACAATGAGCAAAAATTGATTGAACGGAAACTATAAATAAATTTATAGTTCAATTGTTTATTACTTTGTCTTTAGGTTTGTGTCTTTACTAAGCGGTTGGGTGAACAGCCAAGACGTTTACTTCTAAAGTGTGACAAAACAAAATCAAGTAATATATTTAGCATAAATAAATATACCAGCCTAAAAAATCTGCGTACTCAAAATGTTCAATACGCCCTCATACTTATACATACATACATATGTATGTATATCATTTAACGTTTTGTCTGGCTATTTGGTTTATTATACAGGTATGTAGAGCGAATTTAAAAAAATTCATCAGGGTTTAGTTGAGATATTCGTTTTTGGCCACTATGTTTTGTACATTTCCCAGTACTGCAAAGCTTTTGACGGCCATTCACCTGGGAGTAGCCAGAAGTGATTCGTGTGCTTACGGTTCAAATCGCAGCTAACTACGTCCGGATATTTATATCCATGAATACTCTGGGTAGCGACCGAACGCTAGTTTGGGAGCGAGGTAAAGTGGGAGGGCGTAACACCCCGCGTGCGCTGGGGATTAATCGGGATGGTGCCTCTGCCCGGCTGGTTGAAGTCCTAGGGAAAATAAAGGCTGACATCAGCTCCATCCACGAAATGCGATGGACGGGGCGAGGAAGGTAAGCGTGAGCCTTGCGACGTCTACTACAGTTGCCACGTAAAGGAGTGCAATTCGGTGTTGGATTTGTGGTGGGAGAGAGACCGGCGTTCACTCTAGTGGACGAAAGTCTAGCCACAATCCGCATCAAAGCGAGATTCTTCAACATCTCATTCACATGTGCCAATGCCCCGATGGAAGAGAAGGACGAGGCATCCAAGGCTCTCTTAGCTTAGAGCGTACATATTAGCGCTGCCCCCGACACGTATAAAAATCGTGCTTGGCCATTTAAATGCCAAGGTGGGCAACGAAGGGATCGCACTACTATATTGATGCATCCAATATACGACCTAACCTCGGAGAAGCAAAAAAAGGGCCCCCAACAATGCAGGGAAAGTTCAACGTCGAAAAGCTGCAATCAAAACAGATGGCCAATGGATTCGGCGCTCGACCCTCACACCTGCTGTGAGAGAGCACTCTTCAATAAACCGACTTGCGCGAGCAGTGGAACCACATTTCCCGCTAATTACTGGTACGATCACGAGTGTGAGAAAATGCTTGAAATGCTGTCCGACAGAAAAAACACCCGAAATTTTTAGCAGAGAGTTGAGCGACTTACAGAAGGTTTCAAGACTCTTGTATGAACAACCATGGCGACCTAGTGACCGATGTCCAGAACGTACTCAGATTATGGAGGGAACACTTTTCGACCCTTTTGAATAGCGGAAGCACTTCGAGGTCCCAGTCGATGACGATGGAGTCGATATCCCAGCGCCTGACTATGAAGAAAAGTGCCAAAGCTGTTTGAGCTGACGGCCTGTCAGCTGAGCTATTTAATTACGATGGCAAGGAGGTAATAAGGTGCATGCCCGACGACTGGAATTCAAGTGCGCTCTGCCCAATCCACAAGAAAGGCGACCCCGCCATGCGTACCAACTACCGCGGGATCAGCCTTCTAAGCATAGGTTGCAAGGTCTTATCGAATGTATTGTCTACCATAGACCAGGTATTCACAGTACGCCGAATCTTGGAAAAGACCCGCGAGAAAATGATCCGCACTCACCACCTATTTGTCGACTTTAAAGCCGCTTTCGACAGTACTTAAAGGTATATGCCACTATGTCTGTCATACGCCTGTGAAAAATGACGTTGAGTAATACCACCAGCTCTGCTCTGTTGCCTTTCGCCACCAGACGGGGTTTCAGACAGGGCGGCTCTCTTTCATGTGGCTTCTTTAATCTGATGCTGGAGAAGATAATAAGATCTTCAGAACTGAACCGCTTAGGAACAATTTACTACAAGAGCGTACAATTGCTGGCTTATGCCGATGACACTGACATCATCGGTAAGAAAAACCGCGAAGTCTGTCCTGACTTTTCCAAGTTGGACACGGAAGCAAAGCGAATGGGCCTGGTGGTAAACGACGACAAGACGAAGTATCTCCTGTCATCAAACAAACAATCAGCACATTCGCGCCTGGCACCCACGTCACTTTTGACAGTTATAATTTCGAGGAAGTAGAGAATTTCGTTTACTTGGGAACCAGCATTAACACCTGTAATAATGTTCGCATGCAAATCCAACGCAGAATCGCTATTGCCAACAAGTGCTGCTTTGGACTGAGTAGGCAATTCAGGAGTAAAGTCCTCTCTCGACGTACTAAAACCACACTATAAATCACTCATCATGCCCGTGCTGGTATGTGGCGTATTAAAATACAGCGGCTCAACTGGCTTGATCATGTCGTTCGAATGGACACCGACGCCCCAGCTTTGAAAGTATTCTGGCTTCACTTGGCATTTCTAATAGGCGTCAGTTGGTCAAAATCGCTTTGGCGGTTACAGCGCCAAAAAGGAAGAAGAGGAAGAGAATAGATCTATAACCTTATCAGTCACACAGTGTTATAATCCCGACGAAATCCTTGACGGTGGTACCGGGAGGGGAACGGTACATGACGGTAGGAATTTTAGTTTGGGTTAAAGTCTCACACGGAAGGGGTTAGGCTTTCGATGCTTCCTCCTCGTAAAA